AAAAAAAAATACTTAAGGTACAAAGGTATAAAGAACATCACAAAATATACATTGGTTATATTTAATATTTCGTTAAACAGAGCCATTTAAAAAAACTTACTGCTCAGATTTGACTGGTTTTCTCCAAAGTAAAGATTCTGAACTGAATGAGTCATCATATATTCATTGAATATCTGGGTAGGAAGAGAAATTTAAATATAAATAAGAGAAGATCCCTGCCCTTAAGGCATATGCATTTTGAACTATGGTGGAGTTACTGAAATAAGCATATTATCTCCTGAGGTACCTGAAAGTTGTAATTATTAATATTCTTAATTTTTCATCAATTTTTTTATTGAAAGAGACTTAAATATAAAATACTGGTATCAGGTGTACATCATAGTGATTCAGCAATTATATAAATTACAAAATGCTTACCACAATAAGTATAGTTACTATCTGCCACCAAAGTTATTACAATATTATTGATTATATTCCCTATGCCATACTTCTCATTCCTGTGACTTATTTATTTTATAACTGGCAGTCTGTACCTCTTAATACCCTTCACCTATTTTGCCAACCCTCCAATCCCTATTCCCTTTAGCAATCACCAGTTTGTCCTCTGTATTTATGAATCTGTTTGTTTTGTTTTGTTTATTCCTTTTTCTTGGTTTTTAGATTCCATGTTTAAGGTAAATCATATGGTATTTGTCTTTTCCTGTCTTATTTCACTTAGCGTTATATGCCCTATGTCCATCCATGTTGTAGCAAATGTCAAGTTCCAACCTTTTTCATGGCTGAGTAATACTCCATTGTATATACATACCACATCTTCTTTATCCATGAATCTATCTGTGGACACTTAAGTTGCTTTCATATCTTGGCTACTGTAAATAATGCTGCAATAAACATAGGAGTGCATGTATCTTTTCAAATTAATGTTTTTATTTTCTTCAGGTGGAATTCAGTGGTGGAATTACTGGGTCATATAGTATTTCTATTTTTAATTTTCGAGGAACCATAGTGGCTGCACCAATTTACATTCCCACCAATAGTGCATGAGGGTTCCCTTTTCTCCATATCCTTGCCAACACTTGTTATTTCTTGTCTTTTTGATACTAGCCATTCTGACTGGTTATTCTTAAATATTTTTAAACTTATCTCATAGCCTTAGCTGTTGCATCTGAAAAGACAGCAAATAGTATTTGATACTGCACAGTACACCTAGGCAGAGTAGGTCTATGGCTAGTGTTTATTCTTTCTGTTCTGAATTGCTGTAGGAACTGTTTATGTTATATACAATTAATAATTGCTTTTTCCTCTCCCAGATTTGGTATTAGGGGAAAGAAGTTACATTTTTCATCTTCTTATGCTCACAAAGCATCTCCCATTGCCAAATCCCCTAGTGTGTATTCTATGGAAAGAGAGGAGGAAGACTGTATAATCTTCTCTGAAGGAATAATAGAGGAATACCTAGCATTCGACCACACTGATATGTGAGTGTTAAGTATTTTAAGCTTTTTACTCCCCTCCTATTTTGTGTATTAATATCTATTTTTTTCTAATGTTTATTTTTGAAAGACAGAGCATGAGTGGGGGAGGGTCAGAGAGACAGGGAGACACAGAATTGGAAGCAGGCTCCAGGCTCTGAGCTGTCAGCACAGAGCCTGACAAAGGTCTCAAACTCACAAGCTGTGAGATCATGACCTGAGCCAAAGTCGGATGCTTAACTGACTGAGCCACCCAGGCACCCCTCTATTTTTTCTAAAGTATACTACTCAGGGACACCTGGTGACTCAGTCCATTGAGTGTCTGACTCTTGATTTTGGCTCAGGTCATGTTCCCAGGGTTGTGGGATTGAGCCCTGCATTGGGCTCTGTGTTGAGTGTGGAGCCTGCTTGAGGTTCTCTTTCTCTTTCTCTCTCTCTCTCTCTCCCCCTCCCTCTGCTCCTCCTCTCCCCCACTCATGCTTGCTCTCTCGCTAAAAATGGATTGAAAAAATAATAAAATCTACTACTCAGAACCGCCCCCCCAAAAGACAGAAAAAAAACACAACCAAACAAAATATAAAGTACACAACCAATATTACATATAATTAGATTGATGTCACTTGGTTATTTATTTCCTATTACTTCCGAGGTATCCAGAGTTCATGTGCTTAGTTGATGTAAATTCCTATTGCTTCCACATACCAGACTCCCTTGTGTATTTTCTTCCTGAATGTGTTATTTGCCTCTTCCTGAGATTAAACATTTTTAAATGAGTTAATTTCTTTCTTCACATAATTTGATTTTACCTTTTGTAAATCATCACCAGTTAATTCATGGAAATCTGAAGCTTTTCAAAGGAGCAGTTGAAGAGGTGTGAACTTTGTTTACGTAAATCCTTTTTGAAAAGGTATACACAGTTTATATAAAACCTTATACTTAGCACAGACTTTACAATTAATAATGCTTGTTTATATCCATTCTTATTGTATTCTGACAATAGTCCTGTGACACAGATATTATTTACCATCTCTATAGGATAGGTGAGAATCAGAGTGGTTAAATGATTTGTCTGAGGTAAAGCTAAGACCTAAAACCTTATTCATCTTACTCTAAATCCAGTGCTCTCTTCACTATCCTATGCTACCCTTCTGAAACATTAACCTCTTAAGCTATTCCTCCAAGCCTTTAAAAGTTCCAGAGCACAACAAGTGGGAGAGAGGCAAAGAAGGAGGGAGAGAGAGAGAAATCCCAAGCAGGTTCCACACTGTCCACTCAAAGCCTGATGTGGGGCTCGAATTCACGAACCGTGAGATCATGACCTGAGACCAAGTCGGACGCTTAACCAACTGAGCCACCCAGACGCCCCAAAAGGAAATGGATTTTAAATAAAGGAAATAAAATTCAATCTCATTCACAATTACCAGTGCAAATTAAAACTATAAGAAGATACTATTTTATCTGTCAGACTGGCAGAGAAAACAAAGAAGTTTGATAATTCCTTGAATGGAAAAAAGGCACATTTTTTCAACACTGAAGATTATCTCTCTTTAGAGGAAAGTGGGCAATATCTTTCCATTTTAAATGCATATACAATTTCACTCAATAATTCTATTTATAGGAATTTATCCTACAGATATAATACCCATGTAGCCAAAGAACTACATACAAGAATATTAAATGTCTTATTGACTATAAGAACAAAAGCCTGGTTGATCAATAACTGGATAGTTAGATATACTATGGTATATCCAGTAGAATTCTCTGCAGCTATTTTTTCAGAGGCGTATTCATATGTATTAATAGAGATGGAGGGCCAGATATATTTTTAAATAAAAGGCCACAATGCAGTGCAGTGTATAACGTAACTATTTCCCTGGACCAATGTATAATGTTTGCTTCTGGGAATGGTGCCTGGGAGACAGGAATGTAAACTTATTTTTCACTACATAAATACATTTCCTTCTGTATAATGTGAATTTTTTTTCATCATATGAGAGTGTTATCTCCTATAAAAAGAAATATAAATTTAAATACAATTAATACTAAATCAGCCTTCTCCCCAACTTAATGCCATGCCAGCTCTTCCTTGGGAAAGAAGTAAAGAGTCTTTAGCTGCCCTGCATAAACCTCTTAGCATCCTTCTTTCCTAGTTAGAGCTTCTTATTTAATTCTTGACACCTCTGCTACCCCAGGGATAATTTTCACGGGAGAGGCCGTAAGATATTTCTTCATAGCCCAAGTGTTCCAGAATTTGCTTTGTGTTAATTTATAATACATCTATCATAGGTAAGCATATCTGTCAGCTAGATCTTTGCCCCTCAAATACTGGGGCTGTTGGTACCTCCTTCCAGAGAAGAGACAGACTTGGCTGAGTTTCTGGACTACAGATAGCTACATGGTCTCCAAAAAGGCCTCACAGTAGCTTCTTGTGCTGGTGGGCTCCTCTCCTTTCCCTTTCCAGCCAAATGCCAATTGTTTGTTTGGATTAATAAAAGTACGCTATTTCTCTAATGAATCACTGCCTCAAATAACTATGTGACACAGTCACATGCCCATCATTAAATGGTACACGAATAGTAATCTAAATGTTATCCAGTCACAACAAAAAGATTATTTCTGTATGCCTGTCATAGCTTATTGCTCAACTGACAATGTTCACTGTTCAAAGCTAAAAAATACACAATGAGACCTCAGTCTTCTTTTTCTTATTCTTTTTTTTTTTTTTTTTTTTTTTTTTTTGGCAGAGTAGTGGGGTGGGGTGGAGTAAAAAGGGAAATTCAGTCTGTTTGAAAACTCCCTTAGGTCACAAGACAGTTTAACACATATGCTACATACATATACTGAGCTACATACATATACATGTGGGGAGGGGACAAATCACGCTCCTGGAGAAGCACAAAACACAGTGGTGAACACTCAGTAAAGAATAACTAGGAAGTCTTATTTGCTTCTGTTACAGGGAAGAGGGGTTTCAAGGAAAGAAATTACAAGCATCTCCAGAGAAACAGAAATTAGGGTACCCTCCCATTGCTCCATTTTACTGCATGAAAGAGGACGTCCTTGCTTATGTGTTTGACGACGTGTGGAGCAAAGTTCTGAGCTGTATGGAGCAGCTGACACGTAGTCATTGGGAGGGATTTGCTTCTGGTAAGGATCTTTGTGAAAACAACATAAAAAAATAATTATTTATGATTTCCAAACCCTGACTAGTCTTTCAGATTATATGTTTCATTACTGCAAAAGACTCATATTTGTATTTTCCACAGACACTAACAGATATTTAGACAATATTTGAAAATGAGTGGATGAGTAACAAGGCTATTCTATGATGACTATACTGTGTTTTATTTGAATATAGTTATTTGTGAGAAAAAAGATGTGCAAGTGGCAAATACATTTTTTAAACTGCTCTACTTAAGAATAATTGATTATAAAATAAACCATTCATATTTAAAGTGTAAATTGGTCAATTGACCTATGTATACATGAAACCACAAAACAGTCAATATAATATATATAATACCTTTGTAATCCCTTTCTGCCCCTGCCTGACCCCCAATCCCCACGTGCTTTGTCACTATAGTTTAGTTTTTATTTTGTAGAGTTTCATATAAATGGAATCAGGGTATTTCCTTTTTGTAAGCTTCCTTCATTCAGCATGATCATTTTGAGATTCATCTATGTAAATGTGTGCATCAGCAATTTATTCCCAAGAAGTGTTCCACTGTTGCACAATTTGTTTATCCATTTACCTGTTCATGGACATTTGGGTTCTTTTCAATTCGGGACTATAATATGCAAAGCTATTATGCACATTACTATGCAAGAATTTTTTGCACATACATTTCCTTTTCTCTTAGGTAAATTTCTAGGAGTGGAATGGTTTGATTATATGGTTAAATGTATATTTAGCTTTTTAAGAATTATTTTGTTTTTCTGTATTGCACAAAAAACTATCACAAACTTATCAGTTTCAAACAACATACATTTTTTATCTCACAGATTTGTGGGTCAGAAGACCAGGAATGGCTTAGCTAGTTCTCTACTTAGGATCTCACAAAGCTGTGATCAAGGTGTTGGCCACAGCTAGGCTCTCATGAAGAGGCTCACTTAGGAACGGAAACACTTCCCCTTTTGTGTGTTCTTAGAAGTATCGAGTTTCTTGTAACTGTAGGAGTCACAGCAGCTTTCTTCTTCAAAGCCAGCAAGAAAGGCTGAGAGCTAGTCAGCAAAACAGAAGCTTATATAATGTAACATATTCATGGAAGTGACATCTCATCACTTTTACCATCTTCTGTTGGTCTGGAGTAAGTCACACTCAAAGGGATATTCTACAAAGATATGAACACCGGGGCGCCTGGGTGGTTCAGTTGGTTAAGCTTCTCACTTCGGCTCAGGTCATGATCTTGCAGTCTGTGGGTTCGAGCCCCACATCAGGCTCTATGCTGACAGCTCAGAGCTTGAAGCCTGCTTCGGATTCTGTGTCTCCCTCTCTCTCTGCCCCTCCCCCTCTCATGTTCTGTCTCTCTCTGTCTCAAAAATATATAAAAAAAAAAAAAAAAAAAAAAAGATGTGAACACCAAGAGGTAAGAGGGGCCACCTTAGAGTTTGTCCATTACAGTTCTCCCACTTGCCCCTAATGATTCCTGTGCTCCCACATGCAAAATACACTAAATTCCCAAGAGACTTATTATAGCATAGCTCAGAAGTTCAAAATATTATCATCTAAATTAGGTCTTGGTATGAATAAACTTCCCCATGAATGGATATAATACATTAAGTAAAGTTACTGGGGCCCAATTCTCTTCCATCTATATATCTGTGAAACTAAAGGCTATATACATAGGAATATAAACATCTAACTATATAATCCAACCAACCATTCCTGTCATAGAGAAAAGTCGCCTTACCCCAACACACCCATCATACAATAGTGGGCCAGGGAAAGGATAACAGACATTCTAGATAAGGGAGGGGGGGTGGGCAGAAATGAAAGGTTAAGTGGCACCTGGGTGGCCCAATCACTTAAGTGTCTGACTCTTGATTTCGGCTCAGGTCATGATCTCATGGTTCATGAGATCGAGCCCAATGTCGGGCTCTGTGCTGACAGTGCAGATCCTGCTTGGGATTCTCCCTCTCTCTCCCTCTGCCCCCTACCCTACTCACAGTCTCTCTCTCTTTCTTAAAATAAATAAACATTAAAAAAAAGAAGGTTAAAAAAAAAAAAAGGTTTATAGTAATTCTGAAGTCCAGTTGGGAAAATACTGGGAGTTCTAGTCCTAGAAATAGCTCTCTGTTCCAACCTCTGGGCTCTTGGTTTTGCCCTCTGAATCATCCTTCCTTTTTCACATGTGTGAAAGCTAAGTAGTTTTATTAGACTGCTTCCTGGTAGTAGAATTTTGAGGGTCTGACAGCCTTCTTTCATTTAAACTCTTTCACCATCTAGAGATACAAATTTTTCAAAATTATAAAGTCCTGGTTTCTTTACGTTTAATATTTTTTCCATCAGTTTCTCTTTCTCATCTCATGTTTTATTGTACAAGTAGCAGGAAAAAAATCAGACCTCACTTTCAATAACTTTGACTGGAACTCTTCTTAGCTATACAACCAGAATCATCACTTTAAGTCCTGCCTTCCACATGACCACAGGAGACCATTTCACTAAACATTCTTCCACTAAATAACAAGCACCTCCTTCTTCCAGTTTTTAATAACATTTCCTTCTGAACCCTCCCCTAGAACATCCTCCAAATTGAAATTTCTACTAAGTCTGTTCAAGGCAATTTATGTTTTCTCTATCATGTTTCTCCAAATTCTTCTATCAATGAACAATCAAAAATGAAATTAAGAAAACAGTTCATTTCTAATAGCATCAAAGAGAATAAAATACTTAGAAATAAACTTAACCAAGAAAGTGTAAGACTTTTACACTGAAAACTACAAGACATTATTGTAAGAAAATAGGGAAGACCTAAAGAATTGGAAAGTCTTCCTGTGTTTTATGGATTAGAAGACTTAATATTGTTAAGTGGCAATACTCCCGAAACAGATTTGAGTGAATGTCCAAAATAATATAAAAAAGAACAAAGTATGAGGCTTCACATTTCCTGATTTTAAAACTTAGTACAAAGGTACATTAACCAAAACAGTGTGGTACTGACATAAGAATCGACATATAGATCAACAGAATAGCATCAAGAGTCTAGAAATAAACCCTCACATATACAGCCAATTGATTTTCAACAAGGGTGCCAAGACCATTCAATGGGAGAATAGTATCTTCAACAAATGGTGCTAAAACTGGATAACCACATGAAAAAGAATGAATTTGGACCCTTCTTTCACACTACATACAAAGTATCAACTCAAAATGGATCACAAGCATACATTTAAGAACTAAAACTATAAAACTCTTAGAAGAAAACATAAGAGTAAATCTTAATGAGGTTGGATTTAGCAATGGATTCTTAGATATGACACCAAGACCACAAGCAACAAAAAAATCAATAGACTGGATTTTATCCTAAAAAAAAAAAAAATCTATGTATCAAAGGATATTATCAAGAAAGTGAAAAGACAACCTACAGAATGGAAGAATATATATGCAAATCATACACCTGGTAAGATTCTAGCATCCACAATATGTAAAGTACAATTCAACAACAAAGGGACAAACAACTCAGTTTAAAAATGGGCAAACAACTTGAATAGGTATTTATCCAAAGAAGATACACACATGGCCAGTAAGCATATGAAAAGACGTTCAACATCCTTATTCATTAGGGAAATACAAACCAACACCAAAATCACAATGAAATGCTACTTCTACCCACTATGATGGCTACATTAAAAAAAAAAGAAAGAAGACAATAACAAGTATTGGTGAGTATGTGGAGAAACTGAAACACTCATACATTGCTGTGGTAAGGTAGAATGGTGTGGCTACCATGTAAACAGTTTGGTAGTTCCTCAAAAATTTAAACATAAGATTGCCGTATGACCAGCAATTCCACTCAAAGTATATAACCAAGAGAACTGAAACCTTATCTGCAAAAAAGCCCGTGTATGATTGTTCACAGCAGCATTTTCATAATAGTCAAAAAGTTACAATTGACGCAAATGTTCATCAGCTATGAATGGAGAAACAAAATTTGGTATATACATATGTTATGGACTGAATTGTGTCCTCCTCAAAATTTATATGTTGAAGACCTAATCCCCAGTGTGAATGTTTGGAGGTGGGGCTTTTAGGAAGGTAATTAAGGTTAAATGAAGTCATAAGCATGGGGACCTAATCTTATAGAGTTGGTATCCTTATAAGAAGAGGAAGAGACCAAAGCCCCCTTTCTGTGCATGCACGGAAAAGTGGTAATGCAAGGACGCAGCTGCCTACAAGCCAGATAGCACCTTGATCTTGAACTTCTGACCTCCAGAACTTTAAGAAAATAAATTTCTGTTATTTAAGCCATTCAGTCTGTGGTATATTGTTATAGCAGGATAAGTAACTAATGTACTATGCAATGTAATATTATTAGTTCATAAACTAAAATTAAGTAATCATGCATGTTACAACATGGATAAACCTTGAAAATATTATGCTAAGGGTAAGAAGCCAAACACAAAAAGCCACATATTGTATGATTTTATTCAGTTGAAATGTCCAGAACAGGCATATCCATAGAGACACAAAGTAGTTTAGTGGTTGCCAAGGGATATAGGGAGAAAGGAATTGGGAGGTATGTGGTGTCTCTTTGCAGTGATAGAAATTTTCTGAAATTAGATAGTGGTGCTGACTGCACAACATTGTGAATATACTAAAAACCAATTAATTGTGTACTCTAAAATGGTTAAAAATGGTGAATTTTATGTTATATGAATTTTATTTCATTAAACATTTTAAAATATTTTAAACCTGTATGTAAATGTGAGTCTGTTGGTGATTCTTTTATAGATATGAAAAAAATTTTTAAATTTATTCATTCTAAAAACAAAAGCAAAAAGTGTTCATCCATTTGTCCAACTCCCTATGCCCTGCCTCAGGCAACTACCAATCTCTTCTCTATGAACTTGGTTTTATTTATTTATTTGTTTGTTTGTTTGTTTATTTATTTATTTTTAGATTCCATCTATAAGAAAGATCATATGTT